TGACTTGCTCAGTACTGAGGAATTTGAATCTTGAAAAATGTCTCCACTAGCATGTTTTCCAGCCCTTCCTGGAAGTACTGGAAGGTGAACTCTAGCAGCTGTCATTCATTAGCTCGAGCAGTTTCTTTGTTTAAAGTACAAAACCCTGGGCTTGTTCTGCAAGGAGACCTACTGGATCCCAGAAGGGTTTGGTTATTATTTAGTAAGTTCAGAAACTGTTGAGATTCCATGAAATTCTTTTTCTGAAAGTTTTCCCCAGTAATTTGTAGGTGTGGTGATGGCAGAAGATAAAACCTATGTTTTATCTTTATGTTCTTTGTTTTGTCTCGGTATTTCCTTCTGTGTTTCTACACCTAGTCCCTGCTCCACCAGAGTATTGTGGGACAGATAGCAGTGATAGTGGTTCTACTGCTGATGACCTGGTATTCAACATATGGTCTGAGGGTGATTAGGGAGGGGATTATTCTATCACAGAACAAGAAGCCCGAGTGGCTATTGAAATTACCAGGCAGCAGGTTTAAATCAAACACAGGCGAGTTCTCTTTATATAGCATAGTAGAAATAAACCAAGACTGATAGGAGCAGGGTGTTACAGAGACCAGGCGTGCAAATGGACTTTAAAAAGGAACTAAACAGATCATAGAAAGGCTTTTAAAGGCACAGATGCAAAACCAGCCTCTGAGTCTGGCTCCCTGAACACCGAATTACCAGATCTCACCAGGGTATATTAGAGGAAGAGTCAACCTTGCCCTGTTTTTTGTACTCTTTCCCAAAGTACCCATCCCTGGCCACTGGCAGAGGAAGGAGCCTGGCTTTTTATAGGTTTGGTCTGATTCATTGTGGCTGTCCTCATGCTACTGACCCCCTATATCTGGGAAGCAGCAGAATTCATGGTTGAGTACACATCTTCTAGCGTGCAAAAAAAAAAAGAAATGAAAGTTGTCCTCAGTCACACCACAACCTGTTCATGCTTTTTTAATATGTAAGGTTAATGAGAATAAACACATTTCTTGACCTAAACACATTCCCTAGACTAAAAGTGCAGTAGATCCTGGGATGGTTTGAGAAGAAAGAGTAAAACAGCATCAAATTACTCTTAATTCTGCTGTGGTCTTATTTGCTTAGCTCACAAATATTCAGGGATAGCAAGAAAAAGTCTGGCTTCCAGTGTAGCCCAATGCCAAGAATGTAATCCACAGTTTGTCCTTAATCCCAAAAGGATTGTCTCAAATGTTTCCAGTGCTTTTGGCAGGAATATTAAATTACAAAATCTAGGATACTTGCCAGAAATAGACAAAAGTAGGTTCACAGTAAAGGCAGTGCCCCTGCTCTATGCTTCTGCAGGAGCAAAATGGCCTGTCAATATGGACTATTACTTTGAAAATAAATTAAAAGGCCAGCTTCTCATAAGTGTCTTGCAGCAATCCATTCCAATTAGTTCCTAGTACTAAAATATGCATTGTTTGGTGCCTACTGATGACAATTCAAGGAAGTAAGTGAAGCTGACCATCTTGTGAGTATATTGAGCTTTTCTTTTGAGCTAAAAGCACTTATCTGTCTCATTTCTGACTCAGGTTGGGACCTGAACTCCAGAGCCTGACTTCTGCTTTTTTTGTTGGTTGGAAGGAACTTGCAGAACACAGTGGGGTGTTTCAGATTCACTCTGATACAACCAAGGCCAGAGTTCAAAAATTGCTGCTTTTGTTGAATTTACCATAAGAAGGTATTTATACTTTTGTAAAATAAATCCTGGACTATTCAAGGAATTCCAAGAAGAGAAAGCTGGAGAATGGTAAGGACTTGTTGTATGTATGTCAAGCCTCCTTTTAGATTTTGAGGCATGAATTACATGCAATCAATACTTGCTTTATTTGTCACTTTCCTCATTTGTATCAGACAGTTGTGGGGTTTTGTGGCGGCAGGAAAGGGTGGAGAAGAAGAAGTGTTGACCGCAGAGCTGCTTTCATGCTTCTCTTTCTTGCTTTTTTTGGTCTGAGGGATATTTATGTCTGCTAGCTGGGGCTCACCTGCAGATGCATGTCTTGTCTTACAAAGCTGATTGACTTCTTAGGTGCTTAGAAGACCTCTACATGCTGTTGAATTTGCACCAGCTATGTTGGAAGTCACATCCTGTCTTACATGCATACTTGCAGCCACAAACGGAAAATAGAACACATTTTACACTTGTTGCTCAAGTTTTGATAGATGTAAACATGAGACAGCATCTACCTTGTTATTTTGATCCTTTTTACAGCTCTGTTCAGATGAAAGGGTTTGAAAGAATGCTGAAACTAGAGGGAAGGTGACAAATACGTGGAGGAGCAATGCACACTCTGCCTCTCTTGTAAAAAAAGGTTCTGGAAAGCTTAGTAGGCATGAGGCTTGTAAACCCACACGTTTTTCAGAGAAAGACAGGCATGCGTTCAAGGAAACGTTGATGGCAACATTCAAGTTGCTTAAAAAGATAACAGCGCTGCTTTCTAAACCTAAGTTCCTCTTCATTTTGGTTACTTTCATCAAAGGAAACTCTAAGATACATTTTTCTTGTTAACCATATACCTAGTGATATTTTTTTTGTCCTACTGAAGATTGACTTGACCCTTTGTTAAAACAATACCACAGGTAACTTGTTAGTGTTTAGGAGAAGGGGAAAAGCAGTAGTATTGAGAGAGAAGAAAACTGAGGCTTCCAACTTGTTATTGTCAAAAATGTATGTGACCAAGTGACAGCCTAGTCATCTAAATTCCATACAGGAGTTATTTTGCTTTGTGCCCTCTGTTTTCAAAACCTTGAATGCTTAAGTTAAAGTATATGAAAGCAAGTTATGTACATAGGCTGAAAAAGATAGCTGTCAAAGGCTTTTGGCAAGGCATTTGGACCATCATGCAAACTCCAGTTCTTCAGTTGCAGTGTTTGCTGAGCATCTGTGAAGGAGCATCAGCTGCAGAAACAGCCATTTCATGTGCCTGTACTGCAGTGGTATGTTGGCATTGTAATGTGAGGGATTAAAATACATAAAAAATTGAGTGCACCTGAGAAAATCTGAGGCTAAAGCAATTAGAAGCAAAATACCCAGCATTCAAACAAGAAATGCTGGCCTCTTTTCTGTGCACTGACAAAAAATGAAACAAAATTAACTGGAACACAATCTCAGATAGGCTTGGAGTCCTAAATGAAAGAAAGAAAAAAGAAAAGGACACAAATTCAATAACTGAATTCAAAGCCTCCAGTAGGTCCCAGTCTCATCATGGGAGGATCCAGGAAGAGTGGAACCCAAACCTCTTTTTGCAAATAAGAGGAATGCCTTATTGAAGGAAAAGAGGGTTAACATAGCTGGTTTGCTTGTGTTAAAACATGTCTTTGAACTGAAGTTCTAGTTGACTTCAGTGGAGTTTTGCCAAAATACATCTGTATTAGGCACTGAATAGGATTTCAGAACTCCAGGTTCGTTGATGTACTTTATACATCAGCCCTTGGGAAATTGTGGTAATCACTTATCTTCCCATTAGGAAATGACTCTGTAATGATACTCTCTGCTTCTTACTTTATGTTGTGCAGAGTTGGTAAAAGCCTTCGCACCCCAACTTTTAGTGAATGGTTGCACTGCTTAGTGCTGGCATGAAAATAAATAGCAGCAGTTTGGGACTCAAGCTGCTTTTCTTTTTGTTTGTTTGGTTGGTTTTTTTGTGTTGTTCATGTTTGCTGTTGTTTCATTATAACGGCCTGGATAGTATGTGGGGTACTTTAACTGAGAAAAAATTGGCCATTCATACATTTCTTATTAGCGTTCCTAAGGCATGTTGGTCAAATCGTACTAACTAAAGACTGAGCAATGATTAATGAACCCTTTGGAGAATGTAGATGAGTTCTGCTTCACATTCTGATGAGCACAAGGACAGCTACCAACATTTTCAGTATGTTTGCTAATGCTGTGAGCTTCAATATCTGGGAGATTTTCTAGGCCCTATTAAAACAACTTGGTTTGCTGCTGGCAGACTGTATGCCATAAACAAATTATTGCCAACCAGAAACTCTGGCCACAGGATCTTAGAATGCGTTCACTTCTTAAGCCTCATATTGAGGGATGCTGAGGACCTGCAGCCCTGGTTCTTATTGCTGAGAGCTATTTCCCCTTGGGACTTCTGAAAACTGGCATAATGTGTGCCAATGAGGATCCAAAAATGACTGTGTGATATTCGGTAATAAGCACCCTGGGGGCTCGACCAGTCTTCCTATTCTGCATTTCTGCAGTATGTCATATTATAGGGGTCTGAATCCAAGTGTCTCACGAGCTATGCAATACTACTAGATATTAATAATAGTCATAACTAAGGAATATAGTTTGGCTGCTTTCATCGGAGCCACATTTCAAATCTTGCAGAGCTGAATGTAGAAATCCAGAGTTTCTAGATCTCACCCTTTGTTATTTGAGCAGCAGGCCATCCATTGCAGTAGTTACTCCGTTCTATACACAGCAGTTCCTCATGAAGTAAAATAAAAACAATGAGATGGAAAAAAGATACTTGATGCAATTTCTGTTGTTTTGTTTACTCAAATGGCATTTACAACTCTGCGGAGTGCAATTGGAAATGAGGCCTCCTACTGCCAGCTCCTATGCAAGCATGCTGGAAGGAACCATCTTTTCCACACAATTCTCTTAAAATGATATTGCCTGTAAAATTTGCATTTGGGCACTGAGATTATCAGCAGAGCTTAAGGAGAAGTTAGGAGATGCCACATTAACCAAGTGCCATCCATTCAAAGATGACTCAAAGTCACAAGATTTATTTAAAATATGTTATAACTTAGAGTTTTTCTCTATTGGCCATCTTGCCTGGGGATTCAGATTTTATAGCTTTAGATCTTTAACCATGCTGATGAAAGACTACTTTTATAGAGGGAGATAAAGGTCATGGGTAGTCATGTGGTTGCATGAGTTAACCTTCAGACAGAAACACCAGATATTACAGTATTTAGCAAGATGGAGTAGAATTATTGTCCTTTTAAATTGCTTTTCAGCACCAGTGAAAGATGGTATTCCTCGTAATTCTTCCTAAGAATATGAATGGACCTCCTTGTTGCTGTAATCTCAAGAAACGATAATGAGTCTTCCTTATAGCCATAGGGTGATCACATTTTGCAGCATGTGGGGGCTAAAACTTTTCTTAGAGCAGCATGCTTGTGAGTAAATGAATGCTTTGTTAGTGGAAAGCCCACGTTTGTTTGCAAGGCCACATGTGTGTCAAAGCAGGACCTGCAAAATACCAGCCATGATTCAGGCACTCTCATGACACTGAAAAACTAAAAGTGAATGTTGCTGAGAACCATAAGGAAGAACATTATGTAACCATCCTCTTTTTATTCTACTCTTAAATGGCTCATCCTCTGTGAGCAGCAGGACTATAAATTTTCATGATAGTAAAAATGGAGTCTGAGTGAATTGATTCCAAAATCTCCTTGCTGGCCTCGGTGTAGCCTAAAAGCCACACATATCTAAATGGTAAAATGCCCTCTGGTTGACAGTGAAGCAAGTTCATAACCCTAGTTAATGAAATCACACAAAAGCAGGCTTTCTCAACCAGTTAGGCTTTAAGTATAACAGTTTTTATGCCTTCTATCTCTGTTCATTCCACCTTGTCATAATCTTTTCCAGCTTATCACCACATACTGTCTAATTAGAAAAGTCTTCTTAGAGAATTGTTTTATCTTCATTTTTCCAGGAAAAATCCTATGTCATGGCCCTTCTTAAATAATACAGGATTGAAAAACCAAGAGGAAGATGATCAAGGAGTTGCATTGGTTTGACTCAATCAAATTATTTTAGTCAATGCAGGTACCATTTGTGGGCATTATCCTAAGTCATAAACAGCTGAAGATAATTCAGTCCATTATCTGTTGTTAATTTAATTTCAGACTGTCAGTTTAGCTAAATCAGTACAACCTAGTCAGAGTAAAGAGAGTGAGTGGATAGACACAAATCTTGGCATGAGGATCACTGTTGAGATTCTGAAGGTAAATAAATGCATAAAGAATTAATCTTTTCCCATTCAGTCAATGACGAAAGCTACACTGATCAAAATGGAAAGAATGGCAGAAAAAACAACAACGGATTAGAACAATTGTGCAAAGACAGATCTCCTTCTCAATCATTGGCTTTGGAAACAGCTCGTTGCCTAAAGGTACGTTTTTCTCCTCTTTTGTTTTTTTTTCCAGGACCATTGTGGCTGCCTGTTGCTGTTTGGTACTTTTTATAAGACTTGAAATGTTATAGTTAGAGGAGATGTGTTTGATCTATTGATTCAGGAGCTGGGAATCTTCCTGACTTACTACATGTCTACAGTAGAATATCTAAAGTTCTTATGAAGTATTTCATAATGGCGAAGTATCTTTGGAAGTATTCTGTGGCTAAAAGGACTTATGGGTACTTTTGTTCCATTGACTAGAAGTGCTCCAAGTGGGTATTACAGGACACTGCAGGAATAAAGCTAAAAGCCATCTGAGAAAGATATAGAGGATTTTCTCTAGAGGATTTTCTTACATGATATTTAACCATGTTTTTCAAACTTGCATGTGATAATTATGTTAGAATGCTAAAAGCCTTATTTTAATGCTGCCCTCTGTTCACACATTAACTCAGAAAAGGGCATTTGTCCCCACAGTTTTACAAGAAAGCCTACAAAGCAGAGAAAAAGCAATCCTTATGAAATCAATAGGGAGTTTTACCTGGTAAGAAAAACAAGAGCATGGTACAGTAATATAGTACTTGCATACTTGTGCATATATAGATCTGTCTTATCTCAAGGTGACTATGGCTAGGTCTGTGTTAATGAGTAGCACAGCACAGTGGGAATGGATCTGTGGAGCCAAACAGTGCCAAAGACTGAGTCTGCTTTTTTAAGGTAGTTAATTTGGACTGGCTCTGGTCAGGTCCCATGGGCTGCCCTTTAGCAGCTGAAGTATCCAGGTTGAGCTCATCAAGAATGTCTTCCAATTTCTTTTTGTCCAAAAGAAATTCAGTCCATGTGCTCTGGGGCCATTCTGTACCATGAACCAAAGTGCTGAATGTGGGAGCTATTGGGACATTGTCTGAAAAGCACCTTCCTGATTTTAACAGGAATGCTAATGTAGGCACCCCTCCTCAGCTGCCAGCTTATGCTTTCATTTAATTACAATGCACATTCATCAAGGTCCTCACAGGAGCATTGGGTGAAATTCCTGTTTGTGATTACTGTCAAGGGCTTAATTGTTGACTAATTTCCCATTTTTCAGCCCAGGTGAAATATTCTTTAAAGATGTATTGCGAACTTTATACTTTGTACCTTTGTATATTATTTTGTTCCTCTTTGTAAAGCCTAACACTTAGTCCACTTGAGGACTGAGTGTTTCAGTGGCTTTCAAGAGACTTCCAGTGATTTAGATCAAGCTCACAGATTCTACACCATACAACAAAAGCATTTTCAGAATTCTTTAGCACATTTTTCTCTTTTGTATCAAAGGGCTTTGGAGGGCAGATCCTGGGATCAGAGGAATCTCTTTCCAAGTGGCTGAAGAACTGGACAGAAATCAGGGACATGTGTGGTGAAAGGAGGACCGAGGAGGGAGGGAAGCCTTTTGTATGTGTTTTATTCTTTTCATAGGGAGAAAAAAAAAAGATGATACTAAAGGATAAGATGCTTGAGAAGAAAAACTAAAGCATGGGAATGGACATGCTTTAGGGCAGAAGAGAAAGGAGGGAGCGTAGCAAGAAGATACGGAAGAGAACAAGACTACTGAAAGGGCATCCATGTAGAAAACAGTCACCCAGGACAAGAGGTAGATTGCATCTCATGGATGAGTAAATACAGAAATCACAGATTTAAACAAACTGGTACATCGTGAATGTAGCTCTTAATTTGTGGAAATTTGTGGAATAACTTTACTAGACTTCTCTGTTGGTTTTATCTTCAACTGCTAAGAAATTTGTGGCATACCAGCTGAACTTTAACCAAGAGATCTGATTTAAAACTCAAAATGGCTATAATGAAGGGAGGAGAGGGAATACTGGGTGTGTGGTTTCTTAAGTGTGTAGTTGACTGTGTCCCATGATTGTGTCTTGTGGTTTTATTACAGAGTGCCAAAGTATGATCCAGTAGAGGAGGCAGATCAAGAAGAGTTTAAGGCTTTTCTAGATAGCTTAACTCTTTCTTAAAGGTGGCCACTTACTGTGTAGAAACCTTCAGAGCTTGCATTCCACGGGTGAAGGGAGAATGTTAATAGCCAGACTACTAAGTTTCAGATTTAACAGCAGTTTTGCCTCTGTTAGTTCCTTTAAACTTTGGCCATTCAGTCATCTGCTGTAGATGTTACTGGGAGATCCAAGCTCAAACAGAAATACCTGGGCTGTGAAGCTGTGCTGGCCAGTGCACCAAGGCTACAACAGAGAAAAAAACTCACTCTCTCTCTTTTTTTATTTTTTTCTTTTCAGTTCATTGCAGTTTTTCCTCTCTTGAGGTGTGTGTGGGAACACCCGATAAGAAGCACTCTAAAAAGCTGCTGGTGTTATGGAGATGGTGTTTATAGACTCTCACTACGATATTAGCAGCCAGCTGGGTCAAGTGTCACAGACCATACCGCTCTTGTTTCCTGAAGGTGTTTTCATTTGTAGGAATCATTAGTGCAACTTTACACTCATTGAGTAACTCAAACAGTGAAAACTTGGACTGGTTTTGTAGCCACTTACATTAACAATGTCTTTCAGTTATTTCCTTCTCAGGACTTTAAGGAAGTGTGACAAATACTTGGTAGGTCACCCCAGCAATGCTTTCTACAATTGTTTGGCAGCTCTTGAAAATCTGAGTCATGTCCTTTCCTGTTTCCAATTTTCACTGGGGAACTCCCTCTTAGTACTTGACACTTCACCACTCCAACAATACCCATGCTTACTTGCACACCACAAAACATTTCTCATTTTATCCCAAGTGACCTACCTCTGCAAATATTTCAGTATTATAAACAGTCAAGGCCCATTTTTGAGCAAAACTCTAACTAAATACTGAGCTTGCCTCCCTTGTTTTTTTGGGGGGTTTGTTGTTGTTTGTTTTTTAGTGATTACATTCATATGAGCCAACTTAAATCAATTTTGAACCAAGACGCTGCAAAGAAAAGTCCATGGACTGGATACTAATCATTGTTTATTTCTCTTTTTTTTTTACATTGTTAATTGCATTTTCTGTTCCTTTTTGGCAGGCATAATTATCAAATATACTAATCAAATGTCAAAGTGGAGATCTTTCATCCTTAATTTTTTTGCTTTACAAAAATAAGTGTTGCCTAAAGTTCGTAGTATAGTATTTAAACACGTGTGGGAGTAGAATTGTTTTAGACCACACCACAGACAAATACCAGAATGGTCAAACCCTGCATTTTGTTTGCCCAGACAGCTTGGCTGTCTCTCTGTTGTCTCTGAGGATTGTAGACATGCTTCATCTTAAAGATGCTGGTAAAGTAACTAATCTGATTCCGTCTCTGTTGAATTCCAGTTTATGGTATTTGAGTTTAAGAAGTTATTTCCTAGTCAAAGGTATGGGTTAATTGTTGTTTTATTCTTTTCCCCTCCTGTTGTTTAGGGAAAGCTGGTTTTGCTCAGCCTAATCAGCTCAACAGTCAAACATTGAATCTTCCACATTTTCAATAAAACTGATCCCTAAAAAAGTGCTAAAGTAGTAAGGTGAGACCAGTTGTGGCAGTGGTCATTCTAAATATAGTTTTGCAAATCTCCACATGCAGTTTTCTCAGTGTAGTTTGAATATTTTTTTTCCTTTAACTATCTTCTATTTTCGTGGCAAATATTTTTGGAAATGAATATTTTTAAAATAAAATTTTAAGTTAATAAGAGGCTTTTCCTCTTCAAACTAGCCACTGCAGTATCTGCAGACAATTATTAATTATCTCTTCTTCAGACTTGCCTGTCTGTCTTTCCAAAGACACAATTCTGACACTTCCCAAACCAGAGGCAGGAAGGAAGAACAGTCAATTGCCATTGCAGATGACTCTGAAAATGAACAATTCAGTTTTCATTCCAAATTGCCAATGAAAGGTAATTGCTAAGCTCTCCACAGAACAGCAATCTGAAAAATGTTGGCTTGCTAATTTCAACAAATTGGGACTGGGGAAGATTAAGAAAATGTAGACTTCCAATTTCAAAAGCCCCTGAGTTTGCCATAGAGGGTGGGGCTTGTTTGTTCCTTTTCAGCCCATGTAGTGGGATGGCAGGAGAGGGAGGGGAGCATTTGAGATTCTTTGATTTCTAGACTACTGGGACAAGGAATCTGAAAATCCTGGACACTCCTTCCCTGGAGGGCTGCCAGGATCTGTAGGGCTCCTAATATTTCTGACTTTGAAAAAAAAAAATAAAAAATCTGCCAAGAGGGTTGACTGTAGGCCAAGACAGCACAGAAGCACTCCCCAAAGTCTGTCTGCTGAACTTCTGAGATTTCAATGAGTAAATCAGCAAGAGTTCAAGCAGGATCCCAAGGGAAAAGTGCCTCTTGGCTTTGATTTAAAATGTATTCCTTAAAAGTTCCCTAACAACTTTAATAGTAGATGAGGAAAAGCAAGCAGTCTGCGTAACAGTAGCTGAACATCCCAGGGAACGTTGCCAGCAGTGACTGGCTGCAGTCAGATGCAGCTAATACAAACCTCCTCACAGAATTTCTGCCTCTTAGTGTCTCCCAGTGACATCACATCTGTACTGGCTTAAAAGTAAACTGATCCCCTTCCTTAGTTTTACAGCTACAGCTTGTCCTGATCTTCTTATTCCTAAGCTCTGAAATACTTTCAGAGTCATCTGACAGTTGTCCACAGGACACACTGATCCCAGCAATTGAAAAGTGATCTGGATCACAATCTGTCTGAACTGAACTGCAGTATTGGCTCAAACTCTCCTTTTTCAAACACTTTGGACGTAGAAGTTATTGTCAAAACATAGGTAATGTTTGTTGAAAAATTAACTAAACTGTGCAGTGTCAAAACCCCACCCTTTTCAACAATTTTTAAGTCATGTTTTTCTTTCCCTTCATATAGTCTTGTCTTCTTCCTCTGTCTTTGGAAGACCTGAAAAATCAAGATGTATGTCATCATTTATGCGGCAGCAGTTTGGTGTCTTGGTCAAGACATGACTGAACATGTTTTGAAGAGGGTAGACAAATCACCTTTTTTGTTTATAGAAAGCAAAAAGTTTCTGCTTTGAATGCCATGATGTGCCACTCTGTTGCATTCACTTTGTAGAAGCTTCTTAACACTGAAAGACATTTTCATAAATTTTAAGAGAGCACTCTAAAAATATCAGGTAAGTTCTATTAACAAGTGATAAGTTAGTATGAAGGTTTTAGTAATCATCCACTTTGCAGGCATTTTAGATGGAAGAAAATCTGTTCAGAAAGCTGTGTTACCTACCACACATGCTGAAACACTGTCTGTTCACAAGAAGACACAGCAGTGGATGAATCCCTTTTGGGAGAACAGCCTGTTGGAGTAGAGAACTGGAAACATTGGAAAGAGTAAATGTGAAGAAGCTCTGTCTTGAAAAAGGTAGTCTTACGAGTCCTCTTCTTTCTTAAAATATATATTTAATCCTTAGTATGATTTTTGCAAAGACCACCTCTGCTTCTGTCAAAAAAATGAAACTACTGCAACTGTTAGCATCCTGATCCTGTGCTATTTGCCTCTTCTGGAAAGGTCAAGGGATCCTTCTTTCCATTAAAGTGGACCTTCTGACTTGCAGCATCAATGATCCAGATTCTGCTCTCAAATTGCTCTGTCATTATCTCTCTGTTGTTTTCTGTTGTAAATCACTGATTGTGATTGCCTGTAAACAACAGTGGCACGATAGTACTGGAGTAATTGTCATGTTTGTTCCACGTGATCATGACACTTCAACATGAGAGGAGTTACAAGAACATGCCCACCTGTGGACTCTACTGTTGATTTTGGATCAATCTTTGCGTTACCTGAAGGTAGATGTTCACTTTATAAAGCATTGTCTGGTTTATCAGTTCAGCTTTAAGTATATGTTTAAGCAAAACTTACTGGCAACACTCCACCAAAATTGTTTGCTGTTGGATACGTCCTGACAGCTCCTACCAAGCACAGTAATGGGAAATCCTCAACAGAGCCATTTATTTAATTAGAATTATTTTGAAATAACTATTATGTATGTACATTAGAGTTGATTTAAGTAGAGACTTATGACCATTCCATATATTGTGTTACCCAAGTTGCTCTAGCTCATGGGACAACTGGATAAACTGGCAAAGTGAAGCTGTTTGTCACAGGCAATTTAATTCTCTAATTAGCTTTTCCTTCTTCCCATATGCTTGCAGGGCAAGAATCTGCTCTGGTTTGGTTACATTCACAAGAAAGACAAAAGGTCTTTTGGAAAACTGAACTTCCCAATTACTAAAATAGAAAAGAAAAGATACAAAACTAAAAACAAACACACAAAGAGTCTTTAGGAGGAAAAAAAGGAGGTTGTTAAAATAAGCAGGTGGATTCTTTTCTTAGCTATATTGATTTAAATAAAAGTTATTTCAGTGACATGAAATATAAATGTATATAAGAATAACTGAAGGGCAGCATCTGACTTTCATTGCCTCTGTTGCAGTGATAGCTGGGCTTCACTTGTGCTTGCTGGAGATAAAATACTTCCCCATGGTCATACCAAGTTCAACAACCAGCTCAAAAGCACAAGTAATGATGCAAGCATCAGCTGTGCCAGGGAGAGAGTAATATAACTGAAAGCTATTTACTTCTGGTGATATTTCTGTAAGAGAAAATGTGAGTTTGCAGCCTTTTCTTAGCTGGGTTGCTACAAACACTGTCCAACTACAAAAACCTCCTTTTTTGTGTGTGTATTTGTAGGCATTCTGACTTAGCTCTTCCATGCTTTTTAAGGGAAGAAGGAGAGAGGTGAGATGCCACAGGGCTTCAAATGACGCCAATTATGCGGGAAGAATCCCACTCTATGAGGCATAGCCATGCAACTTTGCATGTTGAGTTTCTTGTTCAAAAATGTCCATGAAACATTTCCTTCATGCTTCACCAATTTATGTTGTGCCAAGGGTCCTTTCCAGAGCTTTACAACGAACTCGAGGCTTGTAAGAAAAGGCCAAAAAGCCAAGGAATAATGTGCTACAGACAGAGGGGCAGAAAGCAGAACAAGGGTACCAACAAGTCTGCAGGTTATGCCAAGAAATTTGTTAAATTCACAGCCAGTTTGTATCCCTTTGTTCTCCTGCCGCATTGTTTAGCTGCTCTCACATGACAGACTGTCCATTCTCAGTGTAACCCTTCTCTGCACCTTTGCTAGAACTGTTTTCTTCTCCAGAACTGTTTTCCTCTCAAGTGTGAGAGCACAAATCATATACTGTGTTCTGGGGGAAGCACCACAGAGCGTTTTGTACAACTGCGTTAGTGCTTCCCTGCCTCTACTAGCAAAATACCATCTAAGGCATGTTCTCCTCTTCTCTGAATGCCTGAAGATTTCATTCAATCATCTTTTGCATGTCCTAGCTCATTTGACTTTTGACAAAACTGTCCTTAATCCTATGCATCTCTATCTCTACACAACAGCTATCTTTGTTGACCAGGATTATTTGCTATTTCTGACTCCTAAGAACCGCTCTATAGTGAAGTTTTTTTCCACTTATTCAGGCCTAAAATACTTCTCAGTAAGATTTTTTTTCTTGATGGGAATAGTTTTTATATCTTCGGTCTAGATATATTCCAGTCTTCCTCCACATTCAAGTCTTTCATCTCTTCAGTCCAGGTAAATCTGCTAGTGAGTTTCCTTAATTTGACAGTTTGCCCTTTTGAAGCTGAAATATTTTATTACCAACTTGCTTCTCTTTGTTATTCTGTCCATAGAAATGCAAACAGTTGCTGAGTGCTCAGCCCAATGGAGTTTTTTATGGCCAGTTCTTTTTTAGTGTCTTCATTACTTACTAATTTGGGGTTGTCTCTTTTTGTCTCAGTGACTACTGAGAAGAAATCTGGCAGCTATCACACACATGGCTAGCTGGGCCCAAGTTTATTATTAGAACCATGTTTCCCAAATAGGGTATCTGGGAAGTTAAATTTGACCATGGCACAATTCCCAGTGGTGTTTCTTTAATAACATTTCAGTGACAGACTTCTTCTTGCACCATTGTATTTTAGCTGCAGACAAGAAAGGCCAGGTTTCAATGAAGTGTCCAAATCAAAAACAACCACTCCCCAAAAAGTAGAGGCTGTGAGCAGGTGGCTTGGGCTTCTGGAAGTGGACCTCCCTGTTCCCATACAATGGGGAATTTTATGATGAATGAAATGATGATGAGTTAAGTGACAGATGGCTTTTAATAAAAAAAGATCACTTGATGGTTTCCACTTGTGTGGATGAAATGGCTAAACACTTAAATAGAAGGAGTATTGTACTAAGATTGCAAATGACTTGGATATTGGTCTATTGATTGTATCCACATGAGTCAGGTCTGGCTTCCATTTGGAACAGGAGCAGAGCAGTAAAATACAAAAGTTTGATCCACAAGCTATTGTTCTCCTGAGTTACAGAGACCAAGCCAACCTTTTCTGCCATAGGGCTTCTCTGTTCAGCCTGGAGTCCCGTGGAGGGAGGATTCCTTCTCCCGTGCCACCAGCCCAGTTTTGAGTGGGTACCTACTGGTTCTTCCAACCTGTTGCAAGTGACCATTTGCTCATTAGCAACGGGCATTACCTGGCAGAAGTTGTAAGTGGATAAGTCAGTCATGGGAAGAAATGCATTTAAAATTTTTGCACATTTTGCCTACATCCAAGACACGGAGTGCAACTTGAACTCTTAAATGTAAGAAACATGCAAAGCACTCTTCTTCTCAGCCCATGTCTGTGTCTCATTGAAATTATTCTGCTGTTTACATATGACAAGGCTTCTAGCAGCTTGTCATAACATTTCTGACTTACAGTGGCTCACCTAGCCTTCTCACCCTCCTTCTTCCTGGAATCTAATCATAGCTATTTGTATCACTTATAGCCTGTTTTGTGTTCTGACTCGCTACATCATATTTTCAAGTAAAGACCCAAACCGAAGAGTACCTGGCAGAAAAACTGTGTACCTGTTCCAAGATCTTAGGCTGCGAACCAGTAAAGGAATCCAGGCCAGTTAACACTGGCCAAAATTCGAAGTGGAAAGGTTATATATCTGAGAGCTGCAGCAGCTGCCTCAGCACTTGTAATAATGACTTGGCTGTACAGGTGAGGCCAGCAGGACGCAGGACAGAAACTTGGGGCCAGAATCACAGGCTGTGCAATGGGGAGCCAGCAGGAAAAACAGAGATGTCTTTTTCATAAAATGCATAGAGAAAGAAATAGGGCATTAAGCTGTGCTTCAAATGGCAAAGGCATCTCACCTATTGGCCTCTACTTAGAAAGGAAACAAGGAGAGTGGATTCTGGCATGGTACTGTAGGAATAACAGAGCTATCATAAAAGGACAGGTATTTCATCTTCTAGAAGCAGCTTATGTCAGTCATCTGAGCACACAAGGCCCAGTGGGTAGAGACCCAGAGCCACAGGATCAAGGGCTTCTTGTTCTCTCTGAGCTCGGAGCCCACCTGCATTTGGCACAGGGGATGTGACCTAGCAGCAGACTGCAAATAAGGGTCTCCCACAGCCCTGCCACCCCCTAGCTCTGCCCCGTGCACCCCCTCACCTCTCTCCTCACAGTCTTCCCTTGTGCCAGATGCCACAGCCAACATCCTCTGTGAACAGCAGTCCACTGCGTGCCTGTAAGCTACAGGGAGGAGCTGCATCCCAGGCAGATGGGTAGGAGAACTGGATCTTGAGAGGTCTGTCTCCTGCCAGGGGAGGAAGCACCAGCTCTGGCCTGCTTTGCCTGGAGAAAGGGATGCTTTCAGCACTATGAAGCTTCAGTTTGGGTCACCCTTGGATGCACATAGAGGTGGAGTCACACCAGTACACTGGCATCCATTGGGAGGATGAGGGGGCAAGTGGAGGATTTAAGTTCCATATGACAGTGTAGTTAAATGGAAACCAGGCAACAATTGGTGGGGAGAAATCTGAGGTTTAATGTTGCTTTTGACCTAGTGAAAACAACTGGCTGCTCAGGACATATTTTCTCTATTTTTTCAAACTCTTTCCCCTTTTCCTTCCTGCTGTTTTACTTGCAATGCTCTTCAAGTGCGTGTTTTGACCTATTTCTTCTGCTTATGCCTAATAAAGTACAAGCATGCTTAGTGCCTATTAGATAATGTATTTCTTCATAGGTTTGCAGATGCTCTTATGTATAGACACATGCCCTGAAGGCTTCTCTTTGGTTGGCAAATAGCACTTCCTAATGTGCTCACCACTTAAGATTGAGTTTGACTTGCTGGCGGGGAGGCTGTCTCAGCCTACCTGGGTTACCTCTGCAACATATTTTGCTGTCATATGTTTTGTTTGTTTGTGTCCTGTCTCCCCAGTGGAGTAGAGGACCACTGCACAGCCTGAGGCAGGAGAAAGCACCCTGCAATTCCCAGAAAAGGCAGTCCCTAGTGACTGTGAAAGCAGTCACAGCCTAACGTAGTTCTTTGGTTGACCCGGTCTTGAAAAAGTGATCTTAAAACTAGGTGGGGGTTGCATGTTGTGAGTTCCAAACACTGTGGGTTCTGATTAGATGTGCTACAGTCACTCACCAGATTTTTTTAAAGCTCCTGGGACAGGCTTTAGCAAGTTGTCTCCTGGCAGAGTCTCTGGAAGAAATATCATGCAACCACAAAGCAGTCACTGCTGCTTACTACAACTGGGGCAGTAAGTGTAGCCGTGACTAGTCCCCAGTCATCTGGGGCAAGGGGATTGAGAGAAGGTCTACAAAACAGAGTTGTGCTCAGATTTTGGGGCTCAACAGCAGAGATTTGGGCATGTATGGGACTCAGGGCAGCGGTCATGGTGTGATGTAAACATTAGGATCAGACTGTGATGGTAGATAGTAAAGCTAGAAGACGAGTGACAAAGGGATGTTATTGCAGTCTGTATTTCTATAAATGCATTCATCTCCCAAAGTAATTAATGAACGGTGTCAGGTCTGTTGCATTTTTAGCTCTAAGACCAGAGGTGTATGATAGACTGCATGGTGCATTGCCTACACAGAGCTTCATTAGTCATCTTGCTTGTTGGATTGCTGGGCAAGAAATCAACTTTCCATTCTCTTTATTCCTTGTTCTCCACAGTTTTGCTTTTCCCACGTTCAACAGTTTTTCCTGTAATTTACTGTAATAAATAAACAAAAATTACAGTATTTTATTTGTCTTATTACAGTATTTTATTTTATTGTACTTTATTTGTCTTTGATTTTGCAAGCTGGGGTAGAGACTGCAACATTTTCTTAATTTAGTAGTGACTCAGGAGGTACATGGTTTCTCCTGGAACTAAAATATGAATACATTTTATTTAGATTTATTTTAGTTATTGCTTCACATTTAAAGGTTTGTGTGGCTTTTATGTTTGGTTTGGGGAGAGGTTTGTGTCTCATGAGAGTTGATTTTGAACCAAAAGAGCAAATCTGTTAACTTTTTGGTCACATGCATTGTTTTCATTTGCAGGAACATTCATTTGACTTCCTGCTAGTCATCCATTTCCAAAGCATTTTGAAAGGTTCTTATTGTTGTCAAATCATTTGTGTGCAATAGACTACATCCCAGTGATTCCTTATACTTTCCTTTTACTTTGTGCCAAATAAAGTCATTGGTGTTGCAGATTAGTTATTAACTTCTTGCTTGTACAGATTATTTGGAAAACACCTAGGAACGAAACTATTTTGCACTGTATCAATTATTCAAATTGCTATTTGAATCCTTGAATTTAGTTCAACATATTTAAATGACAACAAACATCAGCTTTCCTTCTGTTGCTGGTGTGGGATACCTACAGTTGCCGGAAGAAACTGAAGTGAAATTACATTACTGCAAATTAGATTATTATATTCCTTGACCACTGTGGTGCACTTTATTCCAGATAAAGATGTAGTCAACTATCTTAGATGCAATTTTTTGTATTTTTTACATGCACTGCCTTTAATGAAAGGTAATAAAACTGTGAGTAAACAGGTCCACTGTATCTCCTGTGGACTTTGGGCTGCAATTGTGAATGTTTAGCTCTTCCTAGAGTTAGATGCCTTGTGCAAGACTCCCAGAAAATGACAAGCACATAACTTGCAGCCAGCTATAAAATCAAATGGCCTCCAAGTCATCACACAGCATCACCATAGTAAAGAACATTGCATCTGTCTAACTAGCTTCAGAGGTGCACTGGTAACTCGAGTTGGCCTTTCTGAGCCAGTGGCTCAGTCCTGCCAACAGTACGGTCACGTTTTTCTCCCATGTCTTTCAGCCTGCCCAAAGGTCCATGCTAGACTGTTATCAATACTCAGGTATCAGCTCATGCCCGTGAACTCATGCACTAAAGATGCAGCTGCAACACACACATCCTGTCTGGAACAGAGGCAGGAATAGCATCCATTTCCTCAAGCTTTCCTACACTCGTCTGTGGTGAATAGTTCCAACAGCTTGCTCTGCAAAAATGTGGCACATCCTGAGAATAAGTCCATCCTGTATACTAAACAAAGGCAAGGCTTTGCAAAATAAAGCAAGGCCAGAAACAAAATAATACCAGACCATGTAATTTTAGACTGTCCTGAAAGTACAAGCAAGGGGACTGACATGAAGTCACATAATCAGTCTTCTGGTATTTCATGACTTCTAACTCCTTTGTTGTGCAACCGTAGTGATTTTTTAAAAAAATTGGTTTTGTGCCTATTATACTTAGGTGAACCAAAGGGTAAGGATTGAAGAGATGAGAGCTAGCAGCAAAAAGGCATAGCAGAGTTAAATAAACTAACTTTAGAAGGCAGGTAATTTACCTATGTACTTGGCGGCAGCTTGGTTTTGTAAAGGCCAGGATGTGAAGAGGGAAGACCTTGGGAACCTCTTGGGAGAAGGGGAAAAGTACAAAGGTATTTTCAGCTCAAGGGAAGACAAATTACAGAGGACTGAACTTTGGTTCTTAGCCCAGAACACACTGAAAGCCACCTCAGCAGACTACAGAGTGGGATAGTCCCTTAAGAATAGACAAAATTTCCAGGCTTTCAATCTGTTATTTTTATTACATGTACTCATAGGCTGTAAAAAACTACTGCTGAGAATAGGCTCCACCTATGGTCATTCCCAGTGATAGCCATCAAAAACAGGAGCGTCTCTTCCAATAAAGGAAGCATCTTATTCTGATACAATCCTAAAAACACACTGTAAGCTCACTGAAGCATCATATAGAAAACTTTCAGATTAGAAGTGATTAGGATTGTAACAATTGAAATAGGAGAGAATAACTAAATTATTAACAACCCCTCAGATTTTTTTTTCTAGCATGATACACTCCTCTACGTAAAATACAGCATTGATGCAGTACAGAATTCCTAACAAACTGATTTTTTTCATCACTAGCAGAATTGTTTATTAGCTTTCCTTTCAAATAGCAAGACCCAGCCCCACGCGGTTGGGTCCTGAGGTATGGAGAGATTTTCCAGGAGCCCCATGACTCGCTCCTGCGTTGATCATAAAGTGTGAGGCTCCATTTTGCTCCTGACAGCAGCTCTACAAGGAGGTAGTTCTTCTTCCCCTGAAGGCTGTCCCTGGGGCTTGATGGCAGGGGGCAGAAGTGCTCGGGGAGGGAGAATCCTGCCCCTGAACGAGGTACAGTGGCTCTCAGCTTGCTTGGCTCACCCTCCCCCGCACCCCACACCTCGACACGCAGCCGGTGACAATCAGTTTGTTAATTAGATGGTAATTCCCGGAGGCCGAAGAGGGGCTGGTGGGGAGGGCGTTGTTCGCTGCCCCTTGCTTTGCGGGACTCCCACGCCTTCTCGGGCTGTCGGCGGCGAAAGGCCCGGGGAGGGAGGAGAAAGAGGAAGAAGCCCGTCTGCGGCTCCAGCTAGAAGTTGGTCAGAGACCAGAAACTCACTACTGAGGGTAAGAGATAGCAGCGCTTTATCTTTCTTCGCGTGAGTCTCTCCACCCCCTGGAAGGTACTGGTATAAACGGAGGAGGAATTTGATCAGGCTCGAGCCAAATAATATTTCTGTCTAAACACACAACGTGCTTCCTCCTACGTTTTCGCTTCCAGATGGGGCTCAGCTGAACCAGTCCTCCTCTTCAGCCCAGTCGTAAGCACCAACCGTGTGGGAACCGGGCTGGAGCTGCTAGAGGCTGCAGCAGCAGCCTGGGCGGTCCTGAGCAGAAGCAACGAGCTCTGCCCTCTTCTCTGGGATCGTTTAAAGATAAAATACCTGCTCTTTTGACAACCGGTAAGTGAACACCCCTGCTTTATAAAGTAAACCCTTGCACAGGCTGAGAGGGTGTTTGGATGGTGTCTGAACCCATAGGACTGGGTGCGGTGGAAGTGCTTGTTCCCGAATTTGCAGGACATAGGATTGTTGTGAGACGTTCGACGCTTGGATGCGAATGGACCTGGGGGGTCTTTCCCAACCTTTACCATTCCATGCTCTTCTCACTAGGCTCTCGCGTCATTTCAGACGGGAAAGCTTCCTGTTTTAACCTCACGTAGAGTCTATATGCAAGCTTCTAATTTTAAAACCTGCTTCAGGTGAATACTGGGGGGCAGCATCTGCCAACAGCATTGCTATTCAATGTAAATTACCGCGTATTCAAAGGCAGAGCTGCCTATTCCGATGCTTTCAGCGTGTTCCTCGATGAAAGCATTCAAGGAATTAAATTGAATTTCCAGAGGGATGAAGCCTGCCTCTACAAGCCTCCTTTGAAGAGAATACAATTTTAATCGGCTTGAGAGCTGGTGAGATGAGACATCCCAGACCTTTCCCAGAGATTCCTGGGAACTTTCTGGCTAAAAAATATTAACACCGCGGCGCAGCGGGGAGCCGGCTCCCGGTGGGGATGAGCCCGAAAGAAGTCGAAGCGCCGCCGCCCCCCGCCTTCCCGGCGGCTCTCGGATGCGCTTGATGCCGCGGGCGGGCGGGCGGCCGGGGCCGGAGGGCGAGGCCGGGCTGAGGCGCTGCCCGGGGCCGCATGTGGAGCCAGGAGTCGCCCCCGGCCGGAGCGGGGCCCCCCGGCGGGTGGCGGGGGAGGGTCCGGCGGGCGGCTGGGCGCCTCCGCACGCACAGGTAGGCGGCTCTGGAGGGCCGTGGGTGAGGGGAAAAAGGGCCGCGTTTCCCCGGCTGCTCCCGCCGTGCGCGGGGCGCGGGAGCCGCCCGCCTGTCCCGGGCCTCCCGGAGCAGCCCCGCTGGCAGGCCGGGGCGGCGGGAGGAGCCGCCACGGGGCCCCCCGTGGGTCGCGGCGGGAGGCGAGCCCGGGGGCGGGAGAGTAAGGGGTGGCGGGGCCCGGAGCTCTCGGGGTGGGTAGGTCAGGGCAAGGTTGGGGGAAAGCGGGTTCATGCGGGCAGGACAGCCCCGCGGAGGGGGAGCCTCCAGGCGCTGCAGGCGGCGGTCCGTAAGTAAAATTTGAGGGGAGATTCGCGGCTTCTGCTAAGCTGCTTGGGTCGGGTAATCCCACCGTGTTGCCATGGCTGCCGGTCAGGCAAGTTCGGATAAAGGGTTGCTTCTGGTGAGGGTACCCTTGGAAATGCCGAAGGCCTCGGGGAAGGAACAATGGCTCTGTGGGCAGACTCGGCTTTAAGCTATGCAAATCCATTACTTGTAGTTTAGGGAAGAAACAAACCCTGGAAGTTTTATGTTCTCTGGGTTTTTTTTATTATTATTTTAAGTATTTGGATTATTATTTGGCAGTCGGGGTGGTGTTTCTATTTTAGGTACAGCAAGCTGTGAGATCAGTCCTGCTGTCCTTTCTCAAATTAAAGTTTACAAGGAGAAGAACAGCTGATCTGTTGGGATTTGTGGCTGTTGTGTTCTTGTTACCCAACTGAAACTTTCTGTCCAGATTTTTTTCATTTTAGTCTCTCTCTTCTTCACCCACGTTATGCTGAGCTATTCTTGCAGACAGTTTGGTTGCAGAACTATTAAAAGGATAAACTTTATGATGGGATGAGATTACTTGTTTTAACCTGGTAATTCTATTGCAGCTGAACTATGTAAAAATGTTATACATAAAAATATCTCTGGTGGAGGGTGCCATGGTAGTAGACTGGTCACTCCTAAACTCAAAAAACTGAACTTGAATTTACTCACAGTAAATTAAAGTAAAAGGAAATATGTATGGAGCGGGGCT